ATTATTGTTTATAACTTGCACAAAAATATTATAATTAGCTTGTCCTAAGTTATCTTCAAAAAACTCACTCTCGATCACAGACCTCTTATCATTATCATAGAAACTTTACTGCATTTCGTAATTTTCAATGTTTACAATTTCTTACTCTTCTTGGCACATTTCAGTAGTAAATGAGTTTGCTTCATTACGTAACGTAACTAAGTCTCTATGTCTAAAATCTTCGTTTAAAATAACCGCATTTTTTATTAAGTATTTAGACATGATTCACATTCTTTTCTCTGTAGAATAAAGTCAACTTTGTTTAACATTAATTCCATTAAATTTTGTATCATGTGATTATTATTTTCCTGCGTAGCTTTGAGAATTACTGTTCGCAGAAAAGAGGATTCACCCAACTCAGAAATATTTAAGTCATACGCTTTTACTTTTGGTTTTTCTTGAGGCGGGAACATTTCAAACAAATAATTTTCTTTAGAGTTTTTTTTTTTTTTTTTAAATTGATGGGCAGTTGGCTTTTTTCTCCATTGCTGTTCGTAATTTGTTTTTGACAAGTTCTCTTCATTATTTACTTTTTTCAATCACATTGATCACATTCAGATCAATGTTGCAACATGTTTACATTTTCTACTTTTATTGTAAATACAAGTACATGAAATATTTGAAATTTTTCGATACCGTTAATCTGCAAAAATATGTATATTCTATGTATATATAATATATAAAATCAGTTATCAATTTTTAAAATTATAAATAACTTACGTTTTACGGATAATCGGATTTGTAAGATCTTAAAATACAACGCTATAATATTATCATATCTTGTTATTTATTTATAAACTATATTTATACAATATTTTCTGATTCCCTTCGCATGCTTTTTATCTTTGTTTTCATCTTTTCTCTTAGTTTTCAATCTTAAAAATTCGGTCATAATTTTCCATCGTTTTGGTCTTTCATTAAGTCCTCCTTCTTATTAGTTAGTGGTATGCTATAAATATCATTTAAAGAGTAGTATGAAATTTCGAACTTGAGTAATTCTTCATCCCCCTCAAAATACTTCCGTGCAAAAAGCTTCGCCAAGTACAGGATTGCTGTGAATTCATCTCCTTAAAAAAATAGACTATTTCTATTTTTCGTTATGATCGATATACAAAAAGTCACTGGATATCTACTTGTTATATTATCTGGCACTAGCTCATTATTTTAATTGTCATTGTGGAAGTTCCTGTAATGTCTTCACGATTCTTTTATGTTATTACTGATGGATGATTTAAGGACGATTTAATTGTCCTATAATATTTTATAAAACGTAAGGTTCTTCCAACTTTTTTTTTATAAGGCGAGTGGTTTTCTTTTTCGGGGGAAAATTGACAAAACGACATCAATTTTTATGAAACAATGATTCTCTTCTTCTCTTTCTTATAAGTCCCTGATTTTATAATAGTAACCAATTTTAATAGTAACCAATTTAATAGTAACCAATTTTGTACATTAACATTGTATTAAGCCTTAGCTAGTGAAGCTGCTAGGGCGTAGATATATTTTAATTGTGGACTACCATTTAAACGCTAGGCCTATCTGTTTTCTGTGTTATTGAGGATGGAATATGGTTGTTCAAAGATTCGTAGGTCGGGTCGTTTCGAAGAGTGGATTGTTTATTATTATTGTGGATTCAAATGAGAAGCGACGAGCACCATCAATTCGTTACAGTTAGATTACATATAAAGAATTCGTTACCTTACGGAGGTTGTGATTAGATTATTAGTTTGAAGACTTGAAAAGGGTTTCACAGTATGAGTTCTTTTTTATGTACTCCGATGTCTGTCATTACACTTGCGATAGATTGATACGAACACTTACCGCGGTGACTTTCCTGGCCCTCGGGTGGGAAGGCTTGGTCACAAGGATCCGAAGGCACGTAAGATACTACTCGCGGAGGAACGAGCAAGACTCGATGATTTCGACGGTAGCTCCTAGAGGAGTTCCGTCGGTTGCCAAGATTCACCGAATACCGTAGGAGCATTAGCTCCGATTTTGGGGACAATGCACCGCAATATTGATGAACTTGCAAAGGAAGAGTCTTGCTTCATACTTCGTTGGTATGTGGTGTGATCGCGTGGCCTGCTACTCAGCATTCTAGGATTTACATGAGGCAATCGAAAAGTTTGATGTGCTGAAATGAATTTACAGATCCGCTTTTGGGTATAACAATTGAACCATTCTTATCGCTTTTTATAGTCTCCAATTCATGTTCACTATCAAATTTACATCTATTCGGAGCGCATTTCTTACTCTAACAGCGGACAGTTTTCTTGAATCTTCCAAGCAACGTTTCAAATTAATATGTCGCAAATTTGTGCCAATTCCAATTTATGTCATCGCACTCTATTACTTATTCTGTGTGTCACTGTTCCTCCGCCTCTCTTTTGATGTTTCAATTTTTCGTTCAGAGATTTTAGTATTCCAATTGTCGTTAAAATATTGGTTTTCTTCCTGATCAATAGTCTGACGTTTCTTAGAATCTTATTTTGCGTACCAAATTTCATCCCCTTATTAATTTTCGCAATCGGTACTCCTTTCTTCAATAGTTTTCATATGCTCCTTTCATTATCTCGAATAACTTCTTACACTTGCACAATCTATTTTGCCGGACAGCGGTAATGTACTGAGTGTTTGAATATCAACGATTGCTGCGCATCATCAAAGGGCTTTTTATTCAAAGGTTCAAAAGTTTTTTGCATCGTTTAGAGCGATAAAACTTACCAGAATTGTGCACTTGATTCCTTTAAGTCATCCGATATTTCCGAATTGCGACGGTAACTCTACATCAAAAAGTTCCTGACGCGTTTTCGGAAATACACAAAGGCCTGCTTATGTATCTTCTGCGAGTAATTTGATACCCTGATTAATAAAGATATCGATAAGCGACCTCGCAGTGAGAGGTCGGTAAGAGATTTGGGAAGTTCTAGGATTTGAGGAGTTCTCTCAGACACAATTATGTACATCCACAGTGCGATGTGCACTCTTATATGGGGCTCTTGACGTATCCATCATAGAGATTGGATGATTAGAAAGGAAAAAGGATAGAGGATGGGGGGGGGGAGGGGTATAAGAGCGGAACTTCACAATATATAAATTATAAACCTATAGTTACCAATATAAAATATTTAAAGAGAGCTAAAATAAAATGTAATAATTTTTTTATTTTATGAAGAGAAAATATAAAACAGAATAAAGTGAGTCAGAAACTGACGAGTGCAGTAATGCGTAAGAAATTGTGCCTATCTGGATAAAATGAGAAAACAACCTAAAGCACAATCCAAAGAATAATGAGAAATTACACTAGCTCTGCAGTGCTATTTATACTATCTAATATCCCTTTCCGTAGAATGCGACACTGAAATTTCCTCGGAGCATGCGCAGTGAATCAGAATTTACTGATGAGCAAACTATGCCTTTTGGAGGGGATTATTTTGCTCCAGTGCAATAACTGTCTCTGCAATGACGCAACTCTTGGCAAGGATAGATGTATTCGATGACATGCCACTGTTCTCGCTGATTACAGTTCAAATGCAAAAATGGGTATCCAGAGACGCTGCAACTATGAAATCATGCAGCGAATGTAAAAATGATAATCATAGCTAGCTGTCAATTACAATTAACAAAAAATGTAATATAATTTTCCAAATTTAGTTCTGATATCCGAAATTTCTAATAACAGTATGAGGTATAAGTGGACATAATTTTCTAACATTACAAATAAATAGTTTGCTGTTCTGATGTCCCGTCTGAAACTATTGTCAAAACTGGGCCGGAACTGTTCGGAACTCTATCGATAATCCCGTGGGAAGGCAGCACGTCATGTCTGCTTGCACTAGCCCATGTAGCGCTGCGATGCTAGCTTCCAGTATCGTTTAAACAGTAGTTTTGATTGGACCTATCATTTACACGTCGACTGTTAGTAAGACCTGTTCCGGAACTGATCGAAACTTTGCGGAAAACCTCGTCAAAAGACAGTACCTCGTGTCTGCCAGTACTGAAGGCTGCACTGGCGATTAGTATTTTTAAAAGCTATTTAATATTGGGCTGGCCAGAAAGTGTTCATGGTTTTCAACGTTCTCATTAAACATTAGTACACAAAATACAAAACAATATTAGTTTAAAATATATGCGCCATCAATATCGACAACTTGTCTTCAACGATTGGGTAAAGATTGGATTGTCTAGGGCTGTGAATGAAAAAATTTTTCGAGAGCATTGTGACGTATGCCGTCCACCGGCGTCACCTACAAATAATCCGTGGCCGCTCCCAACGTGGTAAAATCGAAGAAAAGATCTGGCAATCTAGTTGTTGGGCGGCAGGTGCGGCTTCCCCGCATCACCATCCCTCATCATGGCCGTTTTCCACATTTCCCGACAGTTCAGCCTCAGCGCACTGAAAATGGTAGACGCGAACATGGGGGCGACGAGGGAGAATTTCGGAGTCAGCGGATAGGCGCGCGAAATGATTAGGCATGCTTTCGATGACTCCCCCGACCCGAATGCAGACTTCAGGCAGCAGCCGGACACTGTTTTGACCTTGTTATTCAGGGTATCGAATTACTCGCAGAGGATAAGCGACCCTTTGTGCACTTTTTGATGTAGAGTTCAAACTCAGAGTGTGCAATTCGGGTAGGTGTCTTATCGCTTGAAAAGGAAAACCTTGGAAGCTTCATGCAGGTTTGTGCAAGTCGAAAGGGTTCTCGCAAGCGCAATGGTGGGGTCAAAGTCATTCTAAAAAAATGTATGTATCGGTTGTTCAAATGCGCAATACCGAACGTTATCTCGCAGAGTCGTGCGTCGAGAATGCAGTTCCTCATCTTTCGAGGTGTCAAATTACTCGTAGGAGATACGTAAGCGCACGATGCAACTTCGTAGGAGAAGGGCTAAGATTCATCCGAATGTTCTAGAACTTAAGTCGCTCCGTTTGGAAGATGCATCGACCTTGACATTGATTCCAGGAATCTCTGTCGGCGATTAAATTTTAATCCTTAAGAGTTTCCTATAAAAGGAGGAGCTGAACGTGCCTTCGTTAGTCTGCCGTGACAATTGGACCGATGCCGAATAAGAGGAAACAACGCGAGCTCAGAGTTCTAATACAGTTACTACTAAGGAATATCACGGAAGTGAAACATTTGATCGAAGCTAAAAGAGATTATAACAGCCTTCTACGAAATCTAAAAAAAACTTCATCTACATTTAAAAAATGGATTTCTCAACAATTGGCAAAGTCGGCCGTATGGATGACTATCTTCCGACAAAGAAATTGGCTGAGTTGGAACCTCGAGAAAGAACACAAAATCACCAGAATAAGAAGAGTTCAAACCAAATATCGAACGGGACTGATCCTCAATGTAGAAGACAGCTTTTCGACGTTTCTACCTGCAAGGATGGCTAAAGCTTTGAATGACGACGAGGATCTATTGAAGAAGATGATGCAAGCCTGTGAGGAGAATCGAGTCCTCATGCGTTATCTCGGCGGACGGTACAACCAGATCGAGTTCCAATGTCTATAAACTTTGTACTCGTGCTTCAACTACTATGTATACGTGTTAAATAAATATACAACTTATTATATCTTATGTCTTTATTCATAATAAAAAAATATATATTCCGACAACCAGTTCCTTAACAATGTCATATTCTCAGTTGAGCAATTAAAATGTGGAGCATGATGATTTGTACATCGAGTAAGCGAGTTTTTGCGCAATATTTGCAACGAAGGGCATTCCAGATCTTCCAGATCCACGATATGCTCGGATCGTCCAATGAAAGCTCCCAACCAAATTTTCTTCTCCAATCCTTTTACATAGATCTTACATGCATTTTGCAAGATGACTCGAAGAATGTTTCTAACTTGATTGTAAGCAACGTCCCCAGCGCTCCAGGATATACCATGAAAACTGCGCTCCAACTACAAATGTATACTTTTGTTTTTAGCCGGTAGATGCATCCATGGGCAAGGTGGTTGAAAGAGAAAAGTTGTAGGCTCGGAGAAATTACTGCCGACTCCAATCACGGATAGCTCCTTCAGGACGAACTCGTTCGAAGGTTTCTTGAAACCTTGTACGTCCACGATGAATTCCATTTTGATGAACTGCGCAGGGAAAGACGATTGCAGCCTCTTTATACCAATTTTTTCACCCCACCACTGATCGGGTTGTATTCGACTATACGATCGTGCAGGATCAGGCAGAATGCCGATGTATCGGCAGGCAAATTATCTTGCGCCTCGAATTCCAGACGAATATCGACAGGTCCAAGTTTGAGGGACTCGTTTTGTTTGGAGCAATCGATAACGATCAATGGAGCGTACTCGAGAAATTCATTCTTCTTCAGCAAAGGTTCAGGATCCTTGCCATAGTACGTAGCTTGAAAGTTTGCATACATCTCGTACAGCAGAGCAAACTTATTATGATCAGTGTCAAGATTCAGATTTCCGTAGGGATAACATTGTGAATTGAAGAAGAGCTTAACGTCTCTACAGTGGTCAAAGTGACTAGCGCTCTTATTTTTCTTGTTCTCTCTGCTCGTCTGAAAACACAGTATCATGTATCGTGGTGTTTCCAACTAAGTCGACGTCTTGATGGTCCACACATGTTTCGATGTGGTGGGAAGTAGAGGATACTCGTACAGCTTCCAGGTACGAAAACTCACGGAGATGGGTGCATCCCTCTCGGTGAATCTCAGCAGCTGTATCTTTCGTCGATCCGACACCTTTACATACGGTATCAGCCATTCCAATTTGTGAATTACGACTTTGCATTGTTCCAGAACAGTTTGCACTATTGCATTGACATCGCTCTTTGCTTCCGTCAGAATCAACTCTTGTTTAGCGTTAACGACGATCTTGCGATAATCTTCGGCGAAACCCAGTATCAGACTCAGCGGTATGGATACGTCGAAGTAACCGTCTGCATTGGTCAATTTCTCCCGTTCTCTGACGTCGAGCCAACCGGCGTTCTCCATCAAGGATCGTTGACCGGGACTCAGGGAAACATCCCTTCATGAGACTTGTGAGTCTCGTGAGACCGACGTTCTTGTTCTCGATCGATCTCTATAGCATTCATTTCATAGCGAATCTCCTCGAACAGATGGCAAATGGCATTGTTGACGAGAGTCGTGCTCGCAATCGCTGTGGACCCATCTTCTTTGACTAGCTTTCCATACACGTGCAGTGAACTTTTTCTCGGTAGCAAGCATAGATGTTGAATGGAGATTCGAACCTCGTTGCTGTTGTTGAACTTCGACGAGGCGTAAGGTTGATGCGCATGCGTTTCACAGTGTGCTATAGATTCATCGAAGACGATCGATATCTGAATGTTCAGCGTTTCTTCCTCCATGGTACGCGGCAGACGAAAAGAATGCAACAGAACGAACACTTTACTTTCCTCTTGTGACCTTGAATCCTAGATTTTCAAGAAACAAGACGTTTTGACGTGTTAGCGCCTTGAGAAACGATCGACGACTGATCCTTCTTTTGCATATCGGCCTACTATTATAACCACTGACAATTTTCCTATTGTAGACGATACCCATTATCGCATGGATCTAACGTGCAGCCTGATCGTTATGACTTCTCCTTGAAAATTCACCAGGTTCCCGTCTTGATTGACTTCGAAGCTGCAGGTGATCTATCGTCTTGGTGGCGATCGGTAGATAAGTGACGTGCGATGGCACCTCTATGATCTTGCATCCAGGTGGCACGACCGGAAAGAATTTGTCTGTGGTATGCACTTTACGTTCGTTGATGTAAGCGCCCGTCGTGACGTTGCATTTGACTCGTAGGGTGTTCACCTTAAGAATGGCGACTGGTACGCCGGACGTGTGTAATTTATTAGCTTTCAGAACGCGTTGAGTGAAACCTAACAAGCGACCTATGGAATCATTGGGTCGAAAATCGACATCACGTTTACACGTAATATCGCTACACAACGTATTATTGTAAGGTTTAATCTGAATGACGATGCTCTTATCCGTCAACGCGCTATGCACGTAGTTTTCGATATTTTCGATCTCGTAGCTATCAGTATAGTAATAACTTCATCCCCCACGTAGAGCTTGTTACGATCAATGTCCACGTTGGGAATCGAATTGAAGGTCAGCAACTCGATGAGTCCCAGAACGTAATTTTTGTATGGGGAAAGCTCGATAGGAAGGAAGTATTCGGCTTCCAGTATGGAAGAAGGAGGTGCCTGATAAAGTTAACGTGAATGAATTCTCCATGATTGCAAACGCTCAACTAACCTTGTGAAATTACATAGCATGCTTATATAGATGATACTTGTTTTTATGATTTAATTGCCCGCATAGGAACATTAGACACAAGTATCCACATGCAAAAGTATCGTACAACGCCAACGCCAACGCTCCAGCGGCACTGAGATCCGCAAACACGGGGACGAAAAACGGCAGGAAGCCTCCGACTTTGGACGGTACGGGTACGTTACAACGTACGTACGGCGGCGTGTGGACGTTGCGTTTTGCGCCCGCTCGTTTGACGGTAGCTTGTGCACTCTTGAGAGCAAATCTGATAGCTACCCGTGCATTGTTGCTAAGAATCATCGATCGTTTGGCTTCTTCGATGACTTTCCTCAGCGTTACAGTCTTTGGCTTTTTCTTCTTCTTGAGTCCCATACCGAGTTTCGACTTGGCACACATTACGTTCGCTACGGACCAGGCCGCCGCCTTCTCGACGAGACTTGCGTCTTTAGCGAAAACGCGCTTCCAAGCCTTATCGGCCAGTACCCTGTCCGCCGCCCCTCTGTGTTCGAGACTCTCTTGATTCTTCGAGTAGGTGATGTCGTGCTCTTTGCAGGCTGCGTCGAGGGGGTTGATGCCCGGATCACCTCGTTCGAGTCTCTTTGCTAGGTACGTACCGGGCCCACAGTACTGAAGAGCGGGTATATGTAACTCAACGGGTAGACTGTTGATGATCCTATTGACTAATCCTCTGCCACGATGAGATTTTTTCCTCCCAATTCGTTTACGCTTAGGATGCACAAACATGTCCCTGCGGTGAAACAGTTGCGACTGAACAGCGATATTTATAAACTCGTCATTTATAGTTTCCACGTTAGTCAAGATGGAGATGAAGTTGGAGCGATAGTCCGTCAGGCTACCTGTAATGAACTTTGTTAAAATGATGCGAGTAAAGGAGAAGACGGAGGCCAAGCGACACGGCGAATTACTGCCAAAGAGTATACGAGCAGTGTTTTGCGGACCATCCAATTGCGGCAAGACGAACGCATTGGTCGCTCTCATGACCTATCCTAACGGATTAAGATTTGAAAACGTCTACGTATCTCAAAATCGCTTGGTCAGCCAAAGTACAAGTTTTTAGAACGTTTACTGGCATCTGTGGACGGCGTTGAGTACTTTCCCTTTACGGAACACGAACAAGTGCTGCCACCGAAGGAGGCACGTCGAAACTCGATAATTATTTGCGACGATACAACTTGCGAGAAGCAAGATAACATCAGAGCCTTCTTCAGCATGGGGCGGCACAGGGACGTTGAATGTTTCTATCTCTGTCAGACGTACGCTCGCATTCCCAAACATCTGGTACGGGACAATGCTAATCTGCTGGTGCTTTTTAAGCAGGATGAAATGAATCTCAAGCATGTGTACAATGACCATGTAAACACTGATATGACTTACGCACACTTTAAAGACCTGTATTTGACGTGCTGTCACATTGATAAGTATGGGTTTCTCGTGATCGACAAGGACAGCGAGCTCGACGGAGGTAGATACAGAAAAAGATTCGATTGCTTCGTGCGCATAAATGAATGATCATTGAAAAAAAATGAACGCAGTAGCGTTTTGGATTCAGCAGCGTCAACATGCAATGCAGAAAACTTCAGAAGCAAAAAGACGTCTTACGCCAAATCGCTAAAGCCAGCGATGCGATTTGCAAAAAGCATAGAATGATAAAATTGGGTAGAGAGAACGTCGAATAGACGATGATTGAGGTTTTGAAACCGGTAGTGACTCCACTGCAGAAACTAGTGACTGCATCTCAGCCGAAGCGTAATCTTATCAAAGATGAGATTAAGGATGAAATAAAGCAAGACGTAGAAGCGGATGATACGTTTAGAACGGCAGATGAATCCTTCAAGTCTCTAAAGAATGATTCTTTCGAAGAAGAAGAAGAAGAAAACAAACAGATTGATGAAGAACGAGATAACGATGACGCAGACGTACCCGTTTATCAGAACGATCCTATCCAACAGTATCTTAATTTGTTGCTATCGAGGCAGAGTAAACAATTGGATACCGCCTATGGTGTACCTAAACTCACCAAGAACAAATTGATGATAGGTGATTCGCCTATCAGCTTTAAGGGTGATCGAATCTATATAGGTGACACGACTTATTTCAAAACTACGGGTTTTATCGAACTTTTGTTCAGGAAGGTACCTGACGAGACTAGTATAACCCAGGATGACTTGGACAATTACAAAAACATTATTTTAACGAGGAATGCACATAGAAAGTACTATAAACCTGATGGTGCAATTCGTAAGAACAAGAGTTTCAAATTTAATAATGTTATTGCAAAACTGATCGAAC